TTGTTATTAGCTATCTTATATCCTGCCATTTAGATAGCTATCCTCCCAAAGCAGTTTGCAAGCGGTGTAAATAATGCTCAATAAAACCCAATGAATATTGTTGAAAGAGCAACCTCTGAACAACAGAATCATTGTTGCTTGGACAGCTGGTGGCTGTTGTGATTATGGGGGGAGTCCCCAGGAGAAAGAAGAATCTGGTTGAGCCAGTTTATTGCCTTCCTGCCTCTCTCTTCTGGGATCCTTCAGATCTTGGGTGGAGGTGAAGGAAGCTGCCTGCTTTTCTCCTGCTATTTTGCATCAAGTTTGGGCAAAGCTACCTTGAGTCGCAGAATTAAAATTGGGGATTACTTCCACATCTCATGAGTCAGGTATTTACCAATGTGGATTTGCACATCACGAACTGCTAGAAAGGCATGGCAGTTTAAGTCTGGAATTGGAAGCAGCCCTGAGTTTATCTGAAATCTTGATTCCTCCAGCCCAGTTTTAGCCTGTGGGTTGAATTTACAAATTGGGCTAACCCACGTCTGATGTCAAATTCCCCTGAAATGTGAGGAAGTGGTTAAAGGAATTTAGTTCTGACTTTGAGCAGGAAGACGGAAGACAATTACTCAGCCTTGGGAAAGTAGTATGAGAAAGAGGCTGTGTTGTCCTTCAGGAGGAGTGGTGAAAGTTCAGAACAAGGCTTCAAGACAGCTATAAAATATTCCTGGATTTCTTGCCATGTTTGTTCCTTGATCCTAGCTACCTCAAAGGGCTGGCAGAAGTGGACAGTATGCTTCCCCAGTTACGTGAACAAGCACGGTGTAGGAATTATTGTTTTCACGAAAGGAAGACACTCACTGAGCAAAGTGAGAGATGATATAGAACATTATTAGCCTTTCCTGCTTCAAACTCCTTGGCCTCTCTTTTTTCCCACGCTTCCTTGAATGGCTGTTGAAAATGATTGCATGTTGGCATTCTCTGCATTCCAGCTCTTCTTTAGAAGCCCCGGCTTCTAATAGGAGCCTGGCAGAATTGCCTGCTGGAAAGACCAGGCTGGGTTGGGATATCATTTCTGGCTTCCCCTTTCTTTTCATAGCTTTCTGTATCGGTGTAATTTTTCCAGCTCTTTTCTTTTTTTTTTCTTTTTGGCCATCACAAGTCAACTATTTACTATGGAGAAAGGATCTACTAATTTAACTCGGTACTCTTCATTCAGGACAGTAGAGCTATCAATCTGTCTTGTCCCTCCAAATCCTGAACCCAATTTCGCATGGTGTTGTAGGAGATGACAAGGCTGAGCCCAAGGCACCATCAGTTTGGAGTCTCTACGATCTTGTAAGAATGTATTCCAGCATCCCTTGACTCTTACCTGGTGCCAATTTGCATTGAACATTGGTAGATAAGATTCTTGTCTATAGGTATCATGAAATAAACTTGCAGTGCTTTGAACTCGATCCTGGCTCCTGATTTCTTGCACCTAACAGGTGCTTCTTGCATAAGTCCTGCATAAGGTCTTAAAATCATGCTTGTTGAGAAAAACTCACTTGGTTTGGCTCCCATCTTATACTAAACTCTAATCTGTTCTTTACCCGATGATAGTTCACAGAACTAACTGAAATAGAACCAACCAAAATAAAGGCTAGGTCAGGATAATGTGTGAATCAGCCCCTGATAAGAAAAGGCTCTCCAAAGTTTTGGGAAACAATTCTCCAGCTTTGGATGAAGATTTAAATTTGAAACCTTCTGTGTAGGAAAGCCGGTGTCCTATCTCCACTGAGATACGACATTTCCTAATGATTTAAGTTAATAAATCACTTGGAAGCCTTGATAAAAGGAGCACAAGTAAATAGCGTGTAGGCGTGTGTATCTCCAGAGATTTCTTTGGAAATGCTTCTGTACTTTGTTTTCCTTTCTCCTTATGGTTCTCAATAACAGAGATCATCAGAAGCCAGGCTCAGCTGTTACTCAAGAGTGTCCCCTAATTAAACTGTTGGTGCACATTGGGGTAGGAGAGAAATAACTCTTTTCCCTGGGAAACATCTATGATTCTACGTTATAAAGAAAACTTACACTGGGCTCAGCAGTTAAAGATGCTGAGTTTCTCAGCAAGTAGATCAATAGATACCACTTCAGTGGGAAAGTAACACATTCCATGCGTGTTGGACATATAGCCATGCTGGACACATGACCACAGAAATTGTCTTCAAGCAACGCTAGCTTCCTTGACCAAGAAAAGGAAATGAACACTGTGCCCTAGACCTGAACACAACCAGACAGGGAAACATTTACCTTTTACAATAATAGAACACTCTTTCTTGGGTTAACATTGATCAAGTTAAGGATGGTCCCAGACATTTCAAGTTGTTTTTTGCTCACTGCGGAGCAGAAACAAATACTCTGATACCAGTAAGTCTGATTTCCTCCCAAAACAATGTGCATTCAATTGCAACGAAAGAGAAATGGGCAGCCAACGTGGGATGCTACCTTATTTATTGAGTTTCTTTTATGTCAGCCATTGAAGCTCAAACCAAATTTTTACTCCTCATGTGGGCTGTTACAAAATAGATTTTTTTAAAAAAAATCTGAGAGTTTCGCAAGATGTGACTGGGAGGTGGCTATCTTTTCATTCATTTATAGCTGTATTCCAAGAAGCAGATCAGAAGTCTTTCACTGGAAAAAAAAACACCCTGCAAAGTATTGGGTAATGCAGTTTCTTTAATTGTAAAAAAGTACGTTCTGATGAACTAAAATAAGTTTCCCTATTGATTTTACTCCGCTATTTGTTGCTGAGTATAGGGGCCAGTGCTCATCTCCAGTTCAAGGCCATTGAGCCAGCGCTGTCCAAAGACATTTCCGTGATCATGTGGCCACTATGATGTCACAGAGCACTATTACTTTCCCACTGAAATGGTACCTATTTATCTACTTGCATTTACATGCTTTCAAACTGCTAGGTTGGCAGGAGCTGAGACAAGGAAGGGAGCTCACCCCATCACATGGTGCTCAGCTTTTGAACCTGGGCTGCCAGCTTTCTAGCTGATAAGCCCAACCACTAAACTGCTGAGCCACTGCATTGCCCTATTCTGATGACATAAACTTACAAACATTAACCCATAGGAGCAAATCATATGTCCTGTAAAAAGAGATGAGGACTAAGTAAATAGTTTTTGCTATCTTGGTATCTACACACATTCCAGCAATGCCTACAGTTGGCAGTTTTGAAATCTACCTATGTTGTGGGTGATCTACAGATCAGCAGACCTTTCGTGCAATAGGCAACCACAATGTATGATGGCTTTTTATGTCTCCTACTTAAAGGGAAAATTGAAAGAGCCTCACAATCATTGTAGGTCATAATGTTCCAGCTATCATATTCCTGAAATAGCAACAGCACAGACTTATATACCGCTTTACAGTGCTTTACCGCCCTCTCTAAGCGGTTTGCAGAGTCAGCCTATTGCCCCTAACAATCTGGCTCCTCATTTTACCAACCTCAGAAGGATGGAAGGCTGAGTCAACCTTGAGCTGGTGAGGATCGAACCCCTGGCAGTCAGCAGAATTAGCTTGCAATACTGCACTTAACCACTGCACCACCACGGCTCTTTAAAGTACTGTTAGTCAGGTAGTCCAAACAAGAAATATAAACCATGAGCTGCTGTTACCTTTATTGTAAAGTTACAGTAACAGAATCTTGCAAGTTTGAAAGCACTTTCACCCTCTTTTACTTTTACTTTCCAGAAAAATAGGTTGAGATACTTCCCTCACCCTTTTCTTTCTGTGGACTGAGATGCCTTTTGCATGATGATTGTCTAGTCTGTGGCTCTTCTTGCTTTCTTCAAGGTCATTCCAACATATCATTACAGATATCATGTAAGAAAAACCTGAAGCCTCAAGATTTAGCAATCTGTCTCGAAAGATTTCCACCATAAAACTTCTGAATTTTGTAAAGATGTGTAGGCTACTTTGAAATGCTGCAGTTACGAAATCTTGGAGATTACCCAATTTTATTACTCATAACGTAAAATATAGAAATGCAAAGAAAAATGAAAATAATAGGGAAATGGGGGACAAGAAGGGGAAAATGGGTAGAGTAAAAGGGAAAAGAAAAAAAGAAAACTCTTCTTCAACTCTTTTTGGCACAATAGAATAAGTTAATAACGCAGAACCTCAACTGTTTACTTTTACATAATAATATATACTAGCCATTTCTATAACAACAATCCTATCTGATTGGGAAAACCCAAAAACAAGGTTTCATTTTTTTCTCATCTCAAGCACAAAGTCCAGAAACGGTTTCCAAGTAGAAGGGATATTGCAATTATGAAAATGTCCTACTGCTGACCCCTGCTAAGAATCCAGAAATATTGTTTAATTTCATCCATGTGAATGTTACCAGATTGATGTCTGTAAGCTGCCTGGGCAGACAAAATTATTACTGAGAACCATCATAAGCGATTATATCTTCAGGAGCCTCTTGGTAGGAAATAATTTTGTCAACCCATTGCTGTAGAAATTTTTTTTTATTTATTTATTTTATTTTATTTGTCAATTGCTTACAAGATAATAGGTATAAACATGAATATGAATACAGGAAATAGGTATGAATAAATGGGGACAATAGGACAGGGATGGTAGGCACAATGGTGCGCTTATGCTCGCCTCTTACAGAAGTCTTAGGAATGGGGTGAGGTCAACAGTGGATAGTTTAAGGTTAAAGTTTGGGGAGTTAGAGGATGTAACAACAGAGTCAGGTAGTGCATTCCAGGCATTGACCACTCTGTTGCTGAAGTTGTACTTTCTGCAATTAAGTTTGGAGCAGTTTACATTGAGTTTGTATGTCGCGTGCTCTTGTATTGTTGTGGTTGAAGCTGAAGTAGTCATTAACTGGTAGGACATTGTAGCGGATAATTTTGTGTACTACGCTTAAGTCCAACTGTAGGCGGCGTAGTTCAAGGTTGTCCAAGCCTTGTGCAATCTTCCTGTTTTCTCCTTTAATTATGTTTTTGTTTTACTTGTAGACTCTCCAGAACGTGCTGATTGGAAGCCCAAGGAATCGTGAGCATTATGCCTAGCTGGGTTATTATTTCAAGGTCTGCTGTTGCCACCTTGCCTGGAAGAGGACGCCTCTATTCCAGATACGTCCTCTCCCAAAATCAAGCATGGAAAAGTCTGTTTGCCAAAGGTCGTTCAGGTTGGTCCCCAGCAACCTGTAGTTGCAAGGCCACCCACGTTTTCCCTCTGGGAAAAGCGTTCCGACATACTTCCACGGAGGAAGAAGACTTCTCTTTCCATTTGACGCCATCACAGATCAATGAGGTCCTCAGGGCGAGCGAGTTATCCTACACCGTCCCTGAATTTGATGGGAAAAATCCCAGCTCGGTGTTGAAATTCGAGTCCAACCACCTGGGAGCCAACGTGCCAATAGAAGACCGCCGAAGCGCGGCAACCTGTTTGCAGACAAGGGGGATGATGTTTGGAGTCTTTGATGGCCACGCTGGCTACTCCTGTGCTCAGTCAGTTAGCGAGAGGCTGTTTTCTTACCTTGCCGTCTCTCTTCTCTCTCGGCAAACGCTAGAGGAGATTGAGTCGGCCATGGAATCTATGAAACCAATCCTGCCTATTCTTCAGTGGCACAAACACCCCAACGACAGCTTCTTCCATGAGGTGGCCTCCCTGTACCTGGAGCAGCTCAGAGTTTATTGGCAGGACTTACTGAACTCGGACACAGACCTTGGGCTGACGATGGAAGAAGCTATGATCGGGGCTTTTAAAAGGCTGGATTCAGACATATCGCTGGAAGTTCAGGCACCTTCCAAGAACGAACTTCTGAAGAACATCGCTCTACAGGTGGCTTTCTCGGGCGCAACGGCTTGCTTAGCTCATGTCGATCAGCTTCACTTGCATGTTGCCAATGCTGGGGACTGCAGGGTGATCCTGGGAGCTCAGAACCCCAATGGCACCTGGTCTGCTTTACCTCTTACCCGAGATCACAATGCTTTCAACGAATCAGAAATCTCGCGGTTGAAAAGTGAGCACCCAACTTCTGAAGGGAACACTCTCCTTATGAACGGCAGGTTGCTGGGCGTCCTTATGCCTTCCAGAGCGTTTGGAGACGTTATGTTCAAGTGGAGTCAGGATCTGCAGCAGAGCATCCTTAAAAACCACTGCAACCTGGAGGATTTAAACATCTATGAGTATGTCCCTCCGTGTTATCACACACCCCCTTATTTAACAGCTGAGCCGGAGGTCACTTACCACAAAATCAGACGGGAGGATAAGTTCTTGGTTCTTGCTTCTGATGGCCTGTGGGACATGTTGAGTAACGAAGAGGTGGTCCAGCTCATTGCAAACCATAGAGTTAAAGATGATGTCCAGAAAACTCAGCTCACTTTTAAGAAACCAACCAGTCTGGGGTATGTGCAAGATCTACTTCGGAGAAAGGCCCGGACTGCCCAGCCCTGTGACCAGAATGTGGCGACTCACCTTATCAGACATGCCATTGGTGCCAATGAGTATGGAGAGATAGACCAGGAAAAGCTTATGGCAATGTTGACTCTTCCTGATGACTTAGCACGCATGTATAGGGATGATATCACTGTTACAGTGGTCTATTTTAATTCAGATGTAATTGATAGCTACTATCAAGAGGATGAAGAAAGATCCTGAGTTGCATGAATTCTGAGGGTCAGGAAGGGTTCGCTTCAAACATTCTTGCACAAGAGCCTGACTCATAAAATCTCTGTCCTTCCTTCAGGGGGACCAAGTTTAGTTCTCTGTGAGCCTTGAATTCCTATAAAAAATTAATTCATTTTTGGATTGTAAAATAATTTTGGGGGCAATCATTTGATTTTAGTGGAACACTTGGGTTTTGTAGTCAATGGGGTGTCAGAGAGAAACTGGTAATAGTTGTTTAAGTGGAGCCTACACTTTGTAGCTAGAAATGTGCGAGTAGCTTGCGATGTTCAAAATGTCTAAAGTAGACCAGAATGGCAGCTAGCACTCTCCCTTGATGAGTTCTCTAGAATGGCCACCAGTGAAAAGATCGCACGCAGGGGAAGAGGTGAATTACCTTCCTGAGTGGAGTTGGGCATTCTAATCCATACAAACTGACTTGTACTGAGAGGCAGAGATGCTACTCCAAAGGGAGCTTACTCTGAGCCCGTCAAAGAATTATATCCAACAATGCCCCTTTGCCACTGCATCTCCATTTCTGCCAGGTCAAAAACCCCTGCCACTGGAGCTCCTTAGAAAGATATAGCTATTTTCATAGAGTTGTGGAGGGTCAGGGAAACGCTTCCCTGAATGCAAATCTATTCCTGCAATGCTGAATGTTGTCTTCCGCTCCCAAGACATTAGCATGAGATTCCTGATAGCATCCTCATGTTACATTCATAGGGAAAGTTTCTTTCACCTGGTTAAACAGTGTCCACTGTGATCAGTTTTCCTCTTTTATCTTCCTGTTTGAAGGCTTGCAACCCCCTTTCTTTCCTCACCTGAACGGCTACTGTTTATATGCTGCATCAGTTACTAATTGAGTTCTTGTAGATAGCACTTCAGGGATTTCAAACTCCTGTTGGTTGCTTCTGCTACCATAGCAGTCTTACTGGAGTGTCTCTTGTTGTCTTTAAAAAAAAAGATTCAGAAAGGATTAGTATTTGTAGCTGTGCTGCATTCTTGAAATTGGAAGACATTTTATGGTGCAAGGAGATAAGGATATATTTACACCGTTGGATCGATGCACAGTGTTGCAAAGGAATGGCTTTAATTTCCTATGAATGGACAAATATTGTGGTTTTTTTTTATTTATGTTCGATCTTTTTTTTAAAAAAAAAACACCTGTTGACTAACATTCTGTTTGAATACCAGTCATGTATGAGTAATGCACTATGTTGATGACTGTTCTCTGAAAATTTGAGCAGGGTTTTATTATAGTACACACTACTCACAGTCTGAATCATGATTTTAGGGGCGTCTGCAACGCTGCATTTCATTTCATTTCCATTGAATGGTTTGCCAAGTTACACTCTGCATTCTTCACAGTTGAATTACACTTGCATTCCAATTCAACATAAAAACTGAGCAGAGGTTGTTGTTTTTTTTCCCCCAGGACAAACAGTAGAATTTTCTTTTAGAGAAATTTTAGAGCTTTTTGAATGACACATCTGACAGCAGATATTTTCAGACTAAGCTCAGGGAGAATTAAAAGTCTTCAAATGACATAAAGGAAGGAGTCGTTCAAATGAAGCAATCGAACGAAGCTAGAAGGGTTGATTAAATTTGATATAGAAAAGAGAAGCCTTTCATGTCCTCAGTTCTGAGAATGGCCTGTGGTTTATAGAAAAACGGAACAAGTTGATTAAGAAGAATTGAGAAGCGGAAAGGAAAAGCACAGACCTTGTAATATATTGTGCTTAAAGATTCAGAAAGGACGGGGGGGAAAGGACCTTTATTAAAGGTTGTCCTTAGAAAAACATAAAGGGCTAGTAGTTCTGCTAGCAGTTTGAACAAAAATAAAATTGCATGCTTAGTAAATTTTAACCATAAAATATTGCTTAGAAACAAGAACATCTCAAGATTGTGCATTTTATAGGTAATGTTGCTAAGTATTATTGGACTACATCAAATTTACAGAATCGTTTCTTTATAGCGCAGGGAAAGTCCAACACGGTGCAAGAACAGCCTTCACCTTGTCCCTAAACAAAGTTTTTCTTTGATCATCAGTTGTCCATCATCCAGCTAACAGGTGGGATCACTGGATGTCATTTTTCTAGCAGGTGCAATGTAACAAGTAATAAAGGTAGCTGGAGTTTTCTTTAACAAGACTTGTTAGCGATTGCTCCTTTAAAACCATGCTTATTTTTTTATTGCTGGTGGTAAAAACAACTTTTTGCAGTTTTTGAACAGGTTGGCAAATAATATTTTGGATTATGTCCATTCTTCTTGTAGTTATTTTGCTAGTTGCTACTTTCATACATGGGTTGATGACTTTGAATCTCTAGCACTAGGGCTTTATTTCAGGTATTCTCAGCTTATTCTAATCTATAAAGATTGAAGATTTTGTTTCAGACCTTTATCTATTAAATCGTCTTTTCTGCCGTATCTGATCCCCTTATTCAGAGCCTTTTTGTTTTGTGCACTTTTCGCTTTGATTATTTCAGCCTTCAGCCCCATTTGTTTTGCAGATATTCCTTCTTGCCCCATTCATTTGGCGGGTATTTCTATACAACTGAATTTTCCTTTCCTCCTCTGTTATTTTCACTTGACAATCATCCATCAGGTCTTTTTATCCAGATAACTTTTCTCAAACTTTTAGCAAAACAGTTCTCAAAATGAGAGAACTCTTTGATCTGTCTTGACCAAGATGATTTGAGGCTGGAAGCAACAAAAACAAAACATAACTTCCTCCCCCTTGCAAATACTTATTTGATAGATTCTCCACTAGAGAAATGCCAAGATGTTGGAAGCTGGGATTCCCCTCTCCTCTAGGAAAATAGCCCCCACCCTTTGTCAAGTAGGGCTATTAAAATAGCTGGAGCCAGCTTACTTTTCACAACAAAGGAAGGAGAAAATTACAGGCATGAGATACAGAGAAAAACCCTACAAACTAGCTAAGATCCTTTCCCATAGAAATCAAATAGATGGCAAGCTGTATAAACTTGTGAAAAGCAAACCAAAAGATATAACAGGAAACTCAGGATATTGCAACCTAATACAACAAGCAGCTACAAAGTGAACAAACGGCTAATATAAAACAATTACTCCTACCAAGATCCCAGGAAGAGATCCCAATATCAAGAGACAGGAACTCATCACAAACACACAAATCAAAGACTTCAGGGGTTCACACTTACAAAATAAAAGGATCTGAAGGGTACAAAAAAGGGTTTCTCTACTCACAAGATTAGATTAATCCTAGGAACGCTGTGAGATTTCTTACCTGCCTTCCTATTAATAAACTAATTCTGACTTTCAACGCAGCTGACCAAATCATTTTGCATTTCTCCCAGCAGGGAAATTTGAATCCACAAAAGGAAAGAACTTTGCCTATTCCTTAAAGGATAAGGTTTCTTTTTTCCTTTCCTTAATTAGCGACCCAGATCAAGACTGGACCTGAAAATGTATGCACACAGAGCCTTATAATCTACCACCTCAAATGTCAACTCAGTTCAGGTCCTCCATGTTACCGTTTCTTAAACCATTTCCCTCTCTACCCTTGTAGTTTGTACATTCCTGTTCTGCATTGTTTACAGTGCATGCAATTATGTAGAGTATGTTCTCTAAGGCTATCATTTCTGGGCTATATTATTTAATATTGCTGGATAAAATATCTTAGAACAGGGGTCCCCAACTACCGGTCCGTGGAACAGCATGGGTCCATGGCATGCCAGAAATCGGGCCACACCAACAAGCAAAGCCCCTTCCACGGGAGGCAGGCAGCATATAAAACCACGCCCCTCTGGTCCACGGAAAACCTCTCTCCATGGTACCGGTCCCTGGTGCCCAAAAGATTGGGGGCCACTGTCCTAGAACATTAAAATTCAGTAATGTAAGTAGGCCCTTACTGTGTTTAGAACAGACCAACATATCCTTGCATATTGAGGTATCAACGATTACAAAGCAGATGGGGTGATCTTCTAAGATCAAACAATGCAGGATCTCAGCAAGATGTCTCTACTGTCCAGTTCATTTCAGAGGATTTTTAATTGGAGACATTTTCCAGAATTTTCTCTAGTTTGAATCTGGCCTGTCCCCGAGTTTAATACAGTTCAAGAAGTTGTGTAAAAAATAGGGTCAGCAATGTCGAGAAAGTACTAATCTTTATAGAATGTGGTTATAAGATAACAGATGCTTCTGTTTCAGGAGGAAGCCTATTTATTTATGTATAATGTTAATTTAACAGAGTACTTCAAGCATTTTTAAATGTTAACAAGTTAAAATGAGCTAGCCTTGAGATGAAGAGAGCATTTAGTACATGTACATAATTTAAAAATATGTTCACATCTTTGTTATTATTAAAGTTTATTCTGCTCGGGAATAAAAGTATGTTAAGATGAATGAAAGGGTAAGATGGCAGTTTTGCTGGGGGTTTTTCTGTGCAAAATACAACTATGCTGGTTTCAGGCCCAATATTGTATTTATTTTTAGATTCATATCCTGTTTTTATGCAATAACATGACAAAATAAACCCAACAACACAATAAAAAATAAACCAACTGAACACACAGAACCAACTGGAGCTTGCAACGCTCTTGAACTGTAGTATTCACCTACCTTTTTCTAGCACCCTGTACTTTTTCCAATTTTCTAAATGGAGACGAGGCACAGTCAGAAAGCACATTAAAGTATGACACCCATCCAATCCAGGAAAAAAGTATATAAACGAATCAATTGTATTGCCCTCTGCTGATCCCTATTCTGCCTCACAAGTAGTTCTGTTTTTACTGGTTTAATATGGGCCAATGAAGGACGGTGGTGGATATTTTTCCCCCATCTTCGCTTCTCTCCAACTGAAGGTTACCTTGCTCTAAATAGGTAGAGATGGATAAATGAAGATAGAAAAGCTGCTTTAACCCCAGTCAAGTCGTTCAGTGGACAGGTGACAACGTAGCCATGTTCTGTGTTGTTACTTTCTCCAAATACAGATTTACCGCTGTTCTGAAAGAGTGCTAAACTCGTGTCCAATACCTTGGTTGACCGGTCACAGAGGAAGAAGCCAATGATAAGCAAGTTCCACTGGATATAACAGTGTTGAATGTGGCTTGCAGCACTTAGAAGCAGCCCATGTGGTGAAGGAAAAACGACGCCTTTCCACCAAAATAATAAAAATAGTAAAAAAGAAAAAAGAGTGAAATCCCTTGCTAGAAAAAGAGGTAGAAAACCTGTAATGATGAGGTGGTATTCAGCAGGTTCTGACCAATTCTGGAGAATTGGTAGTGGAAATTTTGAGTAGTTCGGAGAACCAGCAAATCCCGCCTCTGACTGGCCCCACCCCCATCTATTCTCTGCCT